ATGCCGTATGCCTCCTTTGCTAATTTCTCTAAGATATAAACTTCAATTTGCTTGATGATGGCCTAATAGATCTTTATGTTATGAGAGAACAGATGATACTAAGACCAAAGTTTCAGGGAATGCATATCCATTAACTTACCAGAAATCTAGAAGTTACAACTTACAAAAACCTTTTTGGGTCTTTTATTATTTCCTTCCGAAAAATAATGTTTTGGAAGGGACACAAAATGAGTCAGCTGCTTGTTGAGTTGATTTGTAAAAGACATCAAAAGTAGATGTTTAGCTATATGAATCCTAGATGTTAAAGATAAGCATGAAACATTATAAAACACAACTATACATCAATTCAAAACTAGTTTCTTTAGCTATATGAATCCTCAATATTCATATTCATTTCAAAACCTGATGGATTTCCAGATTCCAGATATCCAGATTCCAGATTTCCAGATTTCCAGATTTCAGATTCCAGATTTCCAGATTTCATATTCCAGATTCCAAATTCTAGATTTCCAGATTCCAGATTTCCAGATTTCTAGATTCCAGATTCCAAATTTCCAAATTTCCAGTGTGCAACTTTAACAGAAAAAGTGTGTAACTTTAACAGAAAACTGTCTATCAAACTGTACCTCCGAATCTTGTCCCAACCATTTTTGCGACTCAAATTCACTACCAGCCCATGATTTCTAATCAACCAATCTAGAAACCCAACGCAAATGTAGAATTCACATGCTCATCTACTTGGGATCAAATTATAGAGAAAAGAAACAAGCTCACAATTTTGATCAACAACATTCAAGTGTTTCTGCTGCTATAAACTAGTAAAAGACATCATTGATCACAATTTTTTGGCAGGGCACTTTGCTAGAAATATCTAAAATATTTATGTTGATTCTCTAGTGATTGACAGTGATTATAAACCTCTTAGAAATATGATTATGAGATGGTGGACTACTATCCAATCGTATACAAAAAGCTGGGAATTTTTTCACCCAGTGCTTAAACAATTCAAAACTTCTTTACAAAATTAATCAGAAACTTGTTCTTTTTAGTAGAATGCTAAAAAATTGTGGCATCTCAAGTATCTTATGTTCATCAACTATCAATTGCATAGTAGGTCAGTTTATAGAGCATTCAACATCTCACTGTTTGAAGGCTCTAGAACATCTTGCATTTCTTGCACTAAACCTTCACTCCCCCTTCCGATCTTTCCACTAAACTAAAATATTACTAGAAAATATTACTAGAAGAACTAACCTGTAACATTCCAAAGAGGTAGTCACCAAAAGTAACTCCAGGTTCAAGCTCCCAATCATGACCAGGGGGCCTATCATGCAATACTTCAATAAATGTTGCAAAGAAATTGTGCACACTGTCTCGTAGTTGTTGAATATAGCTGGAAACAAGAAAAAGAGGAAACTAAATTTTCGGTGAAACAATGACCAGTTAGCAAGTGGAAATGCATCTATTCTGTGTGGTTTTAATCTAAAAAAATTAAGAGCTGGAAACTATAGGAAATATATCCAGTTACCGTCAAGGTCAAACTCTTTCCCCGGAGACTCCATGACAAGGTACTGTAAATACCTACTAAATAGTAATAAACTATCCTTGTATGGGAGGACAACCATATCCTGCAAGAGATAAGAAACAACATATCCACATAGTCAAATACACAACTATATGTTCCTCCGACATCACAACCACAAATCTGAAAGTGAACCAGACCTTTGATCCAACTCCATCAACTCCTATAATTCTACAAGGAAATTTATTTCAGTTGTTTGTACTAAGTAGATTTACTAGTCTCAAAACTTCAAATAAAAGGGTATTTTATATACCTAAAGAACATGAAAAGGGAAATATAGTCATACCACAGTGGTCCTGTTTGCTTCATCCATCAATGCAGCATCAACGAGCATCTCTCTATTATCAATTCCCTGGAGTGAAAAGATATATGTGGCGTAATGTGACACAAATGTTGTAAGACAAGATGAAATAATTCCCTGTGTTTCATTCTATGCGACAAAGTCTAGCTTACTTTGGATTGTAAGTGTTGTCCTACTTAAATAATACATGCTAGGTAGAATTAGAAGCTTAATAAGTTATGGAGTTGTATATAAGTTAATTTGATAAAGACAATATCACACCAATCATCACATTTATTTACACAAATGAATTTGAATTTCTGAAACCTGTGAGAGTTGCATGAAATATTCTTTCTTCTAGAATTGTGTCGAGAAGTTTGGGAAGTTTAAAGTAGTGAATTGTGATATATAAGCAAACTGAGATTAGAAATGTGACTTCAAGAGTGTCAAACCTGAAGTGCAGTTGGAAGTAAGCCAACTGCAGACATTCCAGAGGTTCTTTTGCCCACCCAATCAAACATAGGGAATTCGGCTAACAAACCCTCAATTCTAACAGTGTTGTTAAGCAATGAGTTCTCTTGTGTAATGGCAATACCCTGCACATGAGTGGTAGTAAGCAACAATGAGAAGTGAGAACTATTTAAGAGCAATGCTATGCACATCCTGCAATGTATATTATAATGGAGAGTGAACAAAGAAACGGAACTAGAGGATCACAAACCAAGCAGAAACTTTTCGTAGACCTACTAAAACTCCTAAACCAGTAGATGTAGATTAAACAGAGGTAAACAGTCATGTTTTTTAACTCTCTTCTATAGAACTTTCATTTTCTAAACAAAATGCGATACTTATCAGAAAGCTACTCCACATTATGGCTAAAAAATATAAAAGCACAAAAAAGAACCTGAGGTCAAAACCTGTTTTACAAATATCAAGTCGGCTTCACAGAAAGCCTTCTGGATCAATGCCTGCTGGATCTGTGTTGTCGATAAATCTTATCTGCCAAGAAATGATAAAGCATGGTATAGACAGAGAGAGATGTGAGAGAAATAGATAAAAAGGTAAGCCAGAGTACTACACATGTATACAATAAGGAAGACTTATTATGAACTATGTAAAAAACAATTTATATTTTAAATCCTTCATAATTAAGTTTTCAGCACAAGTTCTTTAGCATCGTTTGACTTTATCTACACTCTTAATGAGAAGAAAACAGTTCAGTGGAGAGCCTCATTAGTGCTTGTCAAATAAGAGAACAATATCATCATGATCACTACAGATGCAAGAATAAGGGATAGGATTAAGTCAAGGTATTTCCATTGGCTTTGCTGTTGTGCAACACCAGTTTAAGCAAAGGTGCACTCTTGCTTATCTATGCATTGTACTAACACCACTAAATTGACACAAAAGAAAGACCATCAGAAAATATTTCTCAAAGAGTAGTACAAAACATTTATTGCAATATGTACACAAAGTAGGAGCAGTCAAGCAGATACATATGCACAACACATTACACACTAACACACCATATATATTGTGAATTAGCTATCGCTGCCCTTGAAGGAAAGAAAATGATTTTGTATAGTATTAACTTGACGTTACTTCCATTTTGGAAAGAGTTGTCAATGCCCTCCAAAGATGCATCATAGTTTTCGCGACCATTGGAGGAAACTAAAAAACAAGTAATTTTTTGTTCTAACTAAACTAAACAATCAGCTTTTAATGCAAGGAAATGAGGTAGAAAAAAGTTATTAGAAAAGAACATAAATTAAGTGGAGCAAGATTTAGGTGTCTCCTAACCTTGGGTACATAAACCCACTAGTCTGATCTCCGCCACGAATATACTCCTAAAGCATCTGAGGATGATATTCTAAAATCTGTTTGCTCAGAACAAGTTTAGAAATTAATAAGTAATTTCATTCCACATAAAAGGGAGCCATCAAAATGGAGAAAACTGTACCTCCAGATAAATGAGCTCTCTAACATCTTTTGCCAACTTTCCCTGCTCAAATTCAAACTCAAGCTTTGATATTGGATGAGTAGATGGTTCACGGTCCACATTCGACAAACTACGGAAATAAGGATCAGCCAGAGCCTTCAAACCAAAACCACCAATAATGAGATGAAGTCTTGTCACGTTATCAGAGTCAAGATTTTCTTTGGTAGATAGAACAATATAAAAACTTCTTCACTTTAAACAACTACCTCCTCTGCAGATGGTCGATCTATAGGGTCAAATGCAAGCATGCGTTCAAGTAGGCGCAAAGCCAAAGGATCCGCATGTGGAAACTTTTGTGCAACTGGAACTGGTGGTTTTTTGCGCATGTTACCGAGGTATCTTCTTGCCTTTTTATTTCTAATCTGCCAGTTCAGTAGAATTTCTTTAGTAAAACAGGAATAACAAGAGTGGGACATACAACGTGATTTACTAGGACCTCACAACAACTATTCCTTTTGTTTTAACCTTTGTTCTCTGATGTTCTTACTAGCAAGTAATGAAGACATCATATCATCCAAGTGATGCTAATCTGATTGAACATTAACAAAGAAAGAGAAGTATGCAATTAGAGAATTAACCTTTGCAATGGTTTCAGGAGGAGGTGTTCCTAGCAAATCAGTCATAAGGTCTAATTGATGCACTACATTCTTTCTAGGAAATAATGGTTTTCCAGTGAGCATTTCTGCAAATAAGCATCCTATGCTCCAAATATCAACAGCAGGAGTGTACTACAAATAGAGAACTCTCAGTAATAGTACATGTCACATCATAAGTAAATCTGTCTATCAGATATGTCAAAAACACAAGTAAACTCTCAACATATATTATATGATATAGTTGTGTCACAGTGAAATCACATCGTCAAATTTTACAGTTAGATATTACTTTACAAGAAAGAACGTCTAGTTTATTTTTGTTCTCAAATAAGGTAAAAAGAAACAAACCCTTATTTTTGAAATAGTGAAATAATAATAAAATCCACATCATTATTTCCGTGCATAAAGCAAAAGAGCACATCCCTGATTATCAATCTCAACTTTTTAGGAGAAATACCACTTCATGATGTGGAGACACTGAGACCACAAAATATATATGTGCATACTCGGAACATTAACAGTCTTAGGCTAAACGTTCCCACACACAAGGGCAGAAAATAATTCTTGAGCTAGAAATTGGGAAACCCCCTCGAAGCACTACCCTAACTCTCTGTTTTGCAAGCAGGTTCTGTTCCAAGAGATTTATACTATGTCCCCACAGTAAAAAAGATATGTATGTTTGTATTCTAACATTAAAACTTGACATGTTATGATCTAAAAAGTTCCTCTCCCCGCCTTGGCTACTATTATTAGTGCCCTCTATAAGAACCCTTTCCAACATAGCTATATGGTAAATTTCTTCAATTAAATAGAAAATGATTATAGCTATATGCTTCAACAAAGATTATTGAGCATAAATATCATAATGCAACTTAAAATCTAATTCAGTGAGATTTAACATGACGGGAACTATGATTAACTTCATTTGCTACTAAGATTTATTGAACAGAACCAAGAGTGCACTATTCTAGCCAATAACATTCTTAAACATTAGCCAAAACAATTAAAGAAGGTCCATGCTAAACTTTGAATCATGAAATGGTTGCTTAGCCCCAATCTATGTACAATTTCAGTCTATTAACTTCATAAAGATTAACATTATCTACCATTCATTAGCACGAAAGCGACGCAGCAAAGATATGCTCAAACTCTAACAACCAACTTACTCAAACCAAGTTAAAGGAAAATGAAGCCAAAAAACTTATGCTGCCTTATTTTCTTTTGTATCAACAAAAAATCAACAAAAATCGTATCAACAACACAATAATATCAAAACCCTAAAGCTAAATGTGTAACCACACGCAAGAAATAAACCCAGATGCCATAAATTTAGACTTTTTAAAGATATAAATTTTTACCTGATAAACCATATTCAAGCAAAATCCTTTCAATGTGATGAAGCTTTAAGACATCATCTTTTTAAGTGAAGCATTTTGTTCTGTCCTTGATGAACAATGAGAAATCTATGAGGGATTTTCGTAGGTCACAGGTGAACAACCATGAAACTGAATATGTGTCGTTCTTCAATATGTGAGGGATCGTTCTTGAGAAATTTCAGACTTGGAGAAGAAGGCGTCGTTGCTTTATGTTTGAGGATTTCAGACTATGAGAAATTTCAAACTTGGAGACCTAGAAATTCGGCTTGGAGAAATTTCAAACATGGAGACTTCAACCCGACTTGGAGAAATTTCAGACCTAAAAATTGTGATTTTTTTCTGATTTGGGGGAAAAGATAGATTTATGTTTTATGAATTGTTTTTTTTTTTGCCCAATAAAAATTCGAGGGGGAGTTAAAAATGTTGGAGGGAGGGAATATAATATTTTAGTGAAAACTTTAAGGCTACATTTATAATGTGTTGTTTTTACAATTATAAAGATAGGACACTTTAAAAGTGTGGCCATATATCTAAATAATTGTTGCCAATTATATCATATTGTAACAACGCTTATAAAGTGTAGCACATAACATTAAAGAGTACGCTTTACAAGTGTTGCCAATATTATCGAAGCCAAAAGTTAAGAACTTGGGCTACGCTTTAAAAGCGTCCCCAAAAATATTTTAGGCAACACTTTACAAGCGTTGTCTAGATTTAGTGTGGCCGTAGGCCTAAAATGTTGTAGTGATATGAAATTAGTTCTGCATATTTTTTAACAATATACCTTTGCTTCTTGCATATTCATGCTATCTGAAATATCTGATTGGATTTCAGATTGTTGCTCCATTTATCTAAATAATAATTTTTGTAGAGAGTTTTTTGAAAAGAAAGTTTTTTTTTATATATTAGGCATTGCCTGCCTCCTTTATGTTACATATGCGTCTCTTTATATAGAAATGAAATGACTACTACTTTACAATAATGCATTCCTACTTTACATTATAATAATAATAATGATAAAGACAATAATGTGCATGTAGTAACTAATATGTACGTCCATTAATAGATAACATCTAAGCCTCATTTAACTCCCCCAATGATTACCCCTAATTACTGTCCAATGATTGCATGCACTAACCATAAACTTATATTGTATTTCAAATTTCTAATTCTTTTCTTTTTCAAATTCACTTCTTTGATTCTCTTTCCCAAACACCATCTTAACAATACTAATAGTATAACTACTAATTTATTAGGAAAGAGATAACCAATTGTAGTGAAATCACGGTTAAAACTATTACCTGGACAGTTGTTCTCGTCAGCGACTCCATGTCCTCGTACGAATGAGTTTAGGCTTATTCTTTCTGTTTCTTTCTTTTCCTTTCCGTTTCTTAAATAAAATAATTAGGTATTAAAAATGACAAATCCTATCAGCTTATTTTAATAAATGGGCCATTAACTTAAATTATATTATATATGGACTTGATCCATTAACCACCAACTTATAAAATTAATTATTTAATAAATATTCGTCAACTAAATAACTGTAGTTAAAACAAATAGTTCAAAATTCCCAACCAACTATGCAAACTGATCAAAAGTAACTCGGGGCAACAATCGAGATGGATAAAACGATAATTTTATAAAAATTTCTAAAAATGAATTTTCGGGTCATTACATTATCCATCACTAAAAACTATGTTCGTACTCGAACACAATGATGAAGAAGGAAGAGTAACCGACGTTACAAAATGTCTAAGTTATGACTATACCAGTCCATGTTCAGCTTTCTAAGTGAGCTCCTCCTTAAGACAATTCCATCAAGATCAACTACAAGAACTAAAGTTTCAAATCAAACTTTGGAAGATCTACAAATCAAGAGTTATTACCAAACCACAGACTAACACATGAACTCATTCTGAACTGAAACCCTCTAGACCAGAACACAATAACCAGGACGAATCCTTTCTCACATAGCCACGATAAAATTCTGAATCAATACTTGGTACAACCAGAAGTGAACCTGAACCAATCATCACACACTCATAGTGCACAAACCATTACAGATCTTATCAAAATTCCTTTCTCACAACATAATCTTCCCACGAGCTTAAGTTATATAAAAAATGGATATGTAGACACTAAGTACTCATCCAGGGAGAAACAAACTTAGTTGACCCAAAGAAGAAAATGATCAAGAACACCCAACAAGCGTTACACTTCAAAATGCAGAACCTCTAACAACATTCTTAGACAATAACTCTTCATAGAAGCTCTTATATGAGTTCTCATAACCAAGGTTGTGTGTGTAGAACTACTTGTATACTTCAAATATTCCAAACAAAACCAAATGTTTCATAAATAAAATGACCAACTCTGCCCAAGGATGCCACCCTACCAGGAGGACAATCATAGGATCGGTACTCTCGATCCACTACTAGGGATTCACCCATAGATGTGGAAACATGCCTGGCATACGTAGTGAATCAAACTTCAAATAATGTCTAGAACGAAGACGGTGGTCACATAAGAATGTATGGAACCAAAGTCGGATAACATAAGATACTCCCTCCATAGTGACCATATCAAATATTTACATCCATCTAACTCCATCTCCTTGATTTTTAGCCACCCACAATCAATTAGTCTAGTCCCCATTACAATCGTAAACATACTCGATTCATTGAACCCCACATACTTCTCACAGTACTCCACTAAAGCCAACTATCTTACTACTAACAAATATCATAACCACACTAGCCATTTACCTTACTCTCAAATCGCCACTGGTATCAAGGTCTCCTTAACAAACACATTATCGCCTCCAAAACTTTCAAACTACGGTGCTCTTTCTTTCCATTTAAGCATTCCATGACCGATATATTTTACACCTAAGACTGATAGAACTACTTTCAAATCTAATAATACTTTTCCATAAAGGTACAACAATTGAAGCACATCCAACGACACTGTAGGCAATCTTTCACATACCAAATTTCAACTAATATTCAAAACCATCATACACCTCATACCAACACTTAAGTAATGTATGGTCCCTCCAATAATTCAGTATACTATAAGCTCATAACCTCTAATCACCATCAAATGCCTATGTAACACATCATAACAGTCTATATCGTCCCATCAACAAAGTAGTTTCAATCCTCTCGAAATCCTCATTAATCATGTAAAACTGTAGGTCCACACCGTTGAACATCAATAAGTTACCTATCATAATTTGAATAATCTAGCTCAACATAACCACATAGAATCTTCCACAGATAGTTGCTTGTCACGCAACCAAAACTCAATCTTTAGAAAAGTCGATGATAGCTTCCTAGAAAGTCTATACCGAACTAGTTCTCTTCTCACAGTCATATCTAAACTCATAGGCAAAAATCAATAAATCCTTTGCCTACAAACCAAGGGTTTATACGAGAGGTCGTATTCCTTCACTTTTCTTAAATTCTTTCCATGACACAAAATACTAAATATCTTGAACTCTTCAATACATCAGATTCTTGTTTCTTTTGTTGACTCGCTCACCAATCATATTCTTTGGCCAACAACCCTTAACATTTTTGCCTTATCCTCAAAATAAAAACTTTAAAGGAAACCCTTCCTTAGGTCCTTTGAAAATCAAAATAACACACTTTATGACTCAAAACATATACAAGTCCTTCCAAATACTCAATATTCAATGTGATCGATCATTTCTTACCTTACCAATCCGCACCTTGACAAAACATACTACCACGAACATAAACTCACCATGAAAAAACTTGAATTTTTGATCCCAACCATGTAACACAATCCCATTATCAATCAATATTAGTTCATACCTTGATTTTTTTTATGAATTCACGTATCTTAGCTTATCAATGATCTCTTCTCCATAGACCTTATCATATCTTTCGCTAAAAGTTCAACCGTACTCAGTACCAAACTCAAGACCACAAAAAAAAACTTATCATCACACTCGAGTTGAACGTCTGTACACTCCTTCACAAATTTTATCCAATAGTTTTTTTTAACCAATATGATGGACCCGTGACACTGTTATCATAAGTAAAGCAAAAAAGATGAAATCGCGTGTCTCTGAACTCAATTTTCTAATATCTGAAGATACATGTTTTGTCCTTGCACTCAAAGTAAATATCTTTGTTCTCGATCGCCTCTTTCCAAAGACTAAACCACATTACACTAATTTTTTTCCATTCATGACTCTAGCTCCTTTCAATTTTATTCAAGCTCAGCACCTCCTATAACTTTCCATGCAATCAAGCTACTCACCAAATAGTATCAAACCACAACCTTAAATACTTGCAAGTCGTCATTACAATACAAAATTTCTTTAACCAACAATCCTTATTATATAATTGCAGCTCAATCACAATTTATCACGAACTCTTATTACTATCATGCTTAGTTAGACCGTTCCATCACTACGAAGTCAACCTTGTCATCGATGACACCTCAAACTCAACTATATCAATCAAATTCAAAAGACTAACTTAATTTTATATGCACTTTCTTACTAAAATTCTCAATTACCTTCATACAAGTATACTCGTTGAGACTTCCTTTACCCATAAGCTTGTCGTGCTAATATCGATCCACTTCCATGGAGCTTACGATGAAATTACCACTCATTTAAAATCCTCGAGTTACACTTCACAACCTAAACACATCAATATCGTACCAATGATCTACCACTAAAATTTTCCTAACAATATAATGCTTAACACATTCGTCTTTAGTAACAAGCTAGTTGGTTTCTCAAATATGAATGCGACATCAAACCTTATTATACGAGCATGTGATACAATTGATAACTCCTTATGTAGTTAGTATTCACGCTTAACAATCAACATATCCGTTTACATATACCACTAGTACCACATCGTGAAAGTCTGTTACATCCACCACTAGAACACATCATAACTACCGAGAAGATTGAACTCAAATAGCCCACAAATTTCTGCCTATCAAGTAACTCCAATACATTACCAAATTTGTTCGGTCTCTCATCCCAAGCGGTATGCACTCTTTCAGAGATCAGGTCGATGACAGAAGTAACACACTTTATAACTCGAACCAGTAAACATCAATACAGTTATAGTAATTATATTATGACCTCTTTGATGTACACTCAATCTATAAAATTGTAGTAGAGATTTTGATCTCATTTAACGCAACATGATTCTCATCATAAACTAAACAGCCCATACCTATACAACTTTATTAATTGTTGCTTCCAAAGTTACAATATTCATTATCTAGCCATCCTTTTAATTATTCCACTTCCAATTATCGAACCACTAGAGATATTGCCTATACCACCCAAGTGCTATTCCTTCTACTAGGTAACTAACTTGAAAAATATAAGTCATTCATGAAGTCCCTCAAACCATTGTTCAACCTCATCGTTCAAATATCCTCAAAATGTTTCGTTAAGTCATCACCTAACTCAACCCCTCTGAGTCGCTTAACATTCTATATTTGACCACATATCCATTTCATAAGTCTATCACTTTCACGTTTGTAACAAATCTACAACACACCAAATACTCACATGAGGAACTACGCATGAGTCATCACATAATACAAAGAGAGGGTGGAATGAACTGATAACAATCAGAAAAGACAAAGATTGCACGATAGAGTTTCAAAAAGTGAAGATTTTTCCTAATAGTCACTATAGCCTCTCGAAGATAAGTACAGACGTCTCCATACCGATACTCGAGATTCTACTTAGACTCGCCTTGTACACACGTGAGACCTATGAACCTGGGGCTCTGATACCATTTTTTCACGACCCAAAAATGGACGTGATGGCACTCGTCTTAACCCACAAAGACAAGTCAGGCCTAAAACTCAACCATTACAATAAAATGCGGAATTTTTTATAATAAACTCAAAAATACCCCCAAAATCTGGTTGTCACGTCACTACAACATTTTAGGCCTAAGGTCACACTAAATCTGGACAACACTTGTAAAGTGTTGCCTAAAATATTTTTGGGTACGCTTTTAAAAGCGTAGCCTTAATTTTTAGTTTTTGGCCACGATGACATTAGCAACACTTTTAAAGCATGCTCTTTTGTGGAATAGGCTACACTTATAAGCGTTGCCATATCATGATATAATTGGCAATACTTATTTACACATATGACTACACTTGTAAAGTGTGCTATATTTATAATTCTAAAAACAACACTTTACAAGTGTAGTATTATTGTTTTTCTAAAATCATCACTAAAATATTGTATTCCCTCCAATATATTTAACACTCCCTCCAATTTCTAATTGGCCAAAAAAAGAATTCATAATAAAGATAAAAAAAAAAAAACTCACTGTACATTACAACATAGGAGCTGCTCAATCAATTCAACATAAAACCCTATTTCCCTCTCCTTCACATTTCCACCCAGAAATTATCGAGTTCTTCTTTCTAGAGATCTTGTTGTTACTGTATGTTTCTCTCTTCTTTGATTCAGCCACTCAATTCTACAAATCTACCCATAAGCTCACTATAAGTTACTGTACGTTTCTCTCTTCTTTGTTGTTATTGTACATTTCTACAGATCTTGTTGTTATAGTTGCTAAAGAAGTAGGGATGGTAATTTCCCTACTTCTTCTACGCCTTCGTTTGGGAAACTGGAGAAACAGTTCGAAGAATTCCAACATCGTTTGGAGGAGTTGGGGAGTCTACGAAAATGGATATGGGTTGTGGTGATGGAGATATATTCAGTCACTTGACTCAAATATGGTAGCCTTCTTCTCGTTCAGTTGTCTTTCTCTATTACTGGTATTACAAAATCTTAATTTATATGATTACTTTTCCTTTTATGCGTTTTTAGAATGTTAGATGCAATTTTAGATCTAAATAATCTTCACATTTTCCAGAAATTCAATTTCATTATATTACATATAGTTTAAGCTTGTTGTCAATTTAAGTTGACCAGGTGTTCTGGAAATTTACACTTTTGTGTCATTTGAGAAGTTTACTGGTTAATGTGGCTGTATATTTGATTTGGTACGAAAATTAAGAAAGAAAGTATTCCTTTTGTTTCAGTTTGTAGTGTTTAGTTTGATTGGATGCAGAGTTTAAGATTGTTCAGTGGAGGTGGAGTCAGAGTTTGAAGCTTATGAGTTCTGGATTCTAATCTTTTTAAGTTATTGAGTTTTAAATTAATAATTCATACATATTCGTGGATTTTTAAGACAATAATAGAGTGTTTCGACCAAAGTTATTAGGTTCGGCTGAATCTGTAACCAATACTCTAGCTCGGCCATTGCTCATGATCTCTCGGGGGTGGTGGTGGGGTAAGATCCAAGTCAACTCGTCTATGATCAGTAATTTGTATTTGTATCAAAAGTTTACAATGTTACATAGTTTTGAATCTTGATGTTGACTTGTTTTGAAATATGATTTGTAGGTTGCAACTCTAGCTCCTAATGTACCGGCAATGCAAGAGCTACATTTTGCAGTACCGATGACTGGAGTCGTTCTTTGTACATTAAATACGCGCCATGATTCAACTATGTTATCGATACTTCTGATGCGTTCGAAAGCAAAGGTCATATTTGTGGATCAGAAATTGCTCAAGGAGCATTAGCTCTCTTTGCTGAAAAGAAACAGAATCTACCTCTTCTTGTTGTGATCTGTCAAACTGATGAATCCCCTGTTGGTGAAAACTTAAAACCTTGCAATCACGATTATGAAAGTCTCCTCAAAAGTGGGGATAGCACTTTTGCTATAAGATGGTCGAGAACATAATTTGATCATATTAGTATTAACTGTACTTCAGGTACAACGTCGTGACCCAAATGAGTTGTTTACAGTCACAGAGGTGCGTATCTCAATACCATCGCTATTTTTTTGCTTCACCAGATGAGTTTGTTCCCTATTTATCTTTGGACCGTTCCAATGTTTCACTGCAATGGTTGGTGCATGATTTGGGGGCTTGCAGCGTTGGGTGGGACGAATGTTTGTCTTAGAAATGTCTCTCCAAAAGACTTATTCGAAAACATTTCATTGCACAACTCCTACATTTTCCTGAAATTTAATTTCATTACATATAATTGTAACTTACGAAAATGTAGTTGGTAAAGTTTGCTTATTTTTCAAAATGTGTATAATTGGATTTTAAAAAGATAACAAAACTATTCCTATATCAAGTTAGGTTTTTTAATTCCCTAATTTTTTACTCAAAAGGGCACAAATCAAATGTACAAAAGACATCTCTCTAATCTCTATTTGTCAGTGGATCTGATTGGTCAGCTTTCTCCTTCTACTGTGTTTGTATCTATGAAATTATATAATACAAAGTTTTTTCATGTTTTGTTATAAAGATTTTATTTCCTATTTTGTGGTTAGGGTTGATATTTGAGGTGATGTCTCTGTTTTCAAAAGTGATGAGTAGATTTACTTGTTCTGTCGGTTCTTGTTGTGTTCCAAATTCTTATCCACCATCATTCTACGCTTAATTCACACCGATGTTACAAGCTTTAATTTCCCAGGCGAGTTGTCTAATTTTTATTTTAATTTTAGTTTATACGTATTTAGATTTGTGTTTGTTCAGAAAAAATAGGATTGTAATTTCCCTTTTTCTTCTATGTTCGGCTAACAAAGTTGTCTCTCTTTCTCCTCGTTGCACAATTCCTACATTCTCCAAAACACATATCCGATTTTTTTTTGTTACATATAGTTTAGGCTCGTTGTCAATTTAAGTTGACCAGGTGTTCTGGAAAATTACACTTTTGTAAATTGAGTTTTGAAATGTTTGTGCTTCATTTTGTTTGCTTTTAGATTATATATGACTATGTATGAGTAAGTTGCTTTTTAGTTTGAGGTAGCATGGACATGAGGAGCAAGCCAATTTTGAAATATTTATCTGAAAGCTTGTAAATATCTTTACAATTGTCTATTTTCACACCGATTGAGTGATGTTGTTGGTGGGGTTAACACATGAGGAACTTCACATTTAAAAGATTGTAAATATCACACTGGAAAGTTGTTCTGTCCAAATTACAACTCCTACAATCTCCATTAAGATAACAATGCCATCAGGATATTGGCAGCCCACTGCCAACACAAGAAGCAACTGCTCTGCATCCAAAATTAACAGGCTGTACAATGTGTTAAGAGATAGCGAAACTGTTTTGTACAAGTAACTATTTGTTTCTGCACCTGAATTTTTACTTGGAATTAAATGTTGCAAACATTTTGTGCAATTTTTACCCGATATACATATAGTTGACTCAGCTTACAGTGCTTCTCGTATTTCTTGCTTCTACCAAGGGAAATACTCCTTCCATCTATTAGAAAGGTGAGTTACTAAAAGTTGTCAAACTCTTGATCTAATATATGAGATTCAAGCATATCCTAATTCTATGCTAGGTTCAATATTAGATGGTTCTAACGACAAACAGAGTCAAATTTTGTTCTTAGAAAATATTTCAATATGAATCATTTATTACTACCGTCTTAGTATCATGTTCATAAATAGTTTGCAACAATGTTCATTTTTTATTTTATAATGTCCTCAATTCAGTTGAATACTTGAATAATAAGATAAATCAAATTATTTTAACAATTGATTTTCCAACTTCAATATCATATCTATTAGTGAACAAAGAAAAATTTGCTTTTTAAAGGTAACAATATTATATGGCCTTTAAGACAAAAGGGGAAAACAACAGCATAACGAGTTGCCATTTTGTCTCAATCTTAAAGCCCTGTTCTTCTTTCCTTATTCTTTTTTCCGTGCAATGTCCTATACTGAGTGTGTTGTACTACAGTTCTTGAATATAAAGACCGTCATTTGTGGTTTAAGCCAAACAATACTCTGAAGTAATGTCAAGTTTACGTTTTGGTTCTATATCAAAGCATGCATCCCTACATCTTCTGCAGGTGCTCTTTTAATCTGCCTGAATTTTGTTTCAATTGTTCTATATTTTTCCCTGCATTCTATTTGTTATTTTAGTTGTTGTCTTGGAAGTTGCCGAGGTAAATATGGGAATTCAATAGTTTATCTAATCTTAGTCATTTGGTTTATCATAATACCTTATATGTTAATTAATGATTGTGAAGTAGGAACATCAAGCATGGTGACATCTGGCTAGGAACAAACATAATTGTTTTGCAGTTATAGCTACCTATTTAAGTCCTTTCCTCTCCTCCTTGATCTCACACAACTTGTATTAAACCTATCAGTTTGTAATTATCTATATATCACTTTTTTTATTTAAGTACACAAATGGAAACATTTTTTAAATGTTGAACCATACTGAGAGGGTGTCATAGGTTTGTTGTTATTCTTCAACTATTTCCTTGGTAGATATTTATTATTTGTCTTATTTTTTTTTGTTTTGAAATGTGAGTACTTATTATCATCATGTTATAACTGTATAGGTGTTCTTTTTTTTATCAACATTTCTTGGAGTCTAAAAAAATACTAAAACATATCACAGTTGTATCACTAGTATAAAATGTGACTCTAGTATCACTAGTGCATTCGATAATCTGCAGGATCCTGCAGTTTCTCTCTGCACCTTTGGAACAACAAACTCAACAAGTGGAGCAATACCACCGTCAATCCTATAGTCAAAAAAATACAGATCTGTAAAAGGGAAAAGTCTTCCAAATTCTTCTGGCTCAACTCATGCTTCAGTTTTTGTAAAGGTGTGTTATTTTTCACAATAACAAAACACTTAAATTCTGAGGGTGCAAGAATGTTGTTGACCCTTAGTTTGATACTTATTTAAGATAACATCAATTCATTTGAGTTGAACACATGATAAGATTGTTTATATATGTTATATTAGGTACTGCCAACTTTCTTATTTTTAACACTAATAAAATTCTTATGTTGGGGTAGTGTTTTTCTTCATTTCTTGTCATCTATTTGATTTTATTTTTTTAGACTAAACCTGATTTTAGGAGCTTGTATGTTGTCTATATTAAGCAATATTCTACCTTGAATAGGTAATTTAGAGAAAGATATGTATTCTAATTTGCCTTATTCCTCCATAACAAGATTTTCTAGATAATCTGCAAATGAAATTTCCTCTTTGTATGTGTTGCACATGGATTTTGAAACCTCTATGAAATTTCTTGTACTTTTATACTATTGTACTAATGTGCAAAGGGTGTGGTCCACGTATCTCCTCTAACATTTTTTTTATCAAAAGAGACATTCTTATTTATGAAATTAGTAAATTCTTGTACAACACAGTAGGATAGAGCTTCTCTAATTGCAGTTTCCTCTACCTCAATGTTTGGTGTGTCTGGGAAAACCTTAGCTTGAGCAAATATTAGGTCTCCAGTATGTCTTCTAACACATATTTCATAGGAGCTCTTACCAGAATTTCTCTAACTAGCACCAGCAATATTGCTTTAGTGATGATTCTCTCAGTTACTATGATGGAATATTCTGCATTCTAGGATAATTGGTTTTAACCAACTGCCATATGTTGGTATTTACATGATGTACTAGTCTACAAAAGTTGATTCTTCCATCATGATTCATCTTGTTCCTCCTTTTCCAAAGCTCTCATAGGATGATTAACCACGACTAGTGTCGAGTGTGAAGATGATGGGAATAACAAAGCAGAAATTTGGAAATGAGCACGAAATGTCAATATATGAATTGTTTCAGGACGGACATAAAAGATGAATAATGAAAGATGAGGAAGAGTATACGCCATCCTTTGAAGAAAGCGTAATAGCTCACTGATGCCAAGGCCGACGACGGAAGCTCGGGACGGAAATTTCATCAATAGATTGAACGGTAGATAAAGGATCAGCCCAGCTATGGAGCTAGGTGTACACCGCCACGTCGAGACTTTTTCATTTTTTTAGTAACAAAATAAACTTTCTAACATTTAATTTTCTTTTGAATGTGTAGGAAAATGCAGGAGATCAAATTTGAATAATGCCCCCAGGTCAACTCAATATATTGAAGCGAGCAATATAGTTTATTTGAACTATTATTATATATGTTTGAATACATTGTGAAATTTATTTGTAGTACACATCTTTAAGATATTTCTTTCTAAGTATGTAGTACGAGACATGATTTTTGAAGTTTATTATAAATCTATATATTGAATTATTTATTAGCTTATTAAATGTTTGAGAAAATTTATATTATACAATTATGTGATAAGTGAATCTATCCAAACCAAAGTTATTATTTTTCAATTAGAAATTGTGGCTATAAAAATCCTAGACAACATTGCCACACTTTAAAAGTGTGGCTACAGGGATGCCAATTGTGTGGCTTATTGATTATAAAATGTAGTATGTACATTAGAAAAGGCTACACTTTATAAGTGTTGTTGTTGAAAAGGTATAAAAAGCTACACTTTTAAAGCGTGGTCAATAACAAAGCAAAGGCCACTCTAGAAAGTGTAGTTTTATCAAATAAAAGTGTTGCCAATGAGATGCTACAAAGCGTGGCCTTTGTATCTCATCGGCCACGCTTTTTAAGCATAGCTGCTACACCAACACTTGAAAAGTGTAGCCTAAGGTCAAAGGTTACGCCTTTTTCGACGACCCCCGAAAAAATGTTCCCTAAAGTCAAAAAGTGTTGCCTTTTATCAATGGCCACACTTTTTGCTAGTTTGGGCCACACTTTACAAGTGTGGATGAAAGCCTAAAATGTTGTAGTGCGTGTATGTCACGCCCCGAGCCTACACCCTGGGCGGGACCGGCACTCGGAGACCATTGCTGGCCCCAAGCGAACCCTTGGCCTGGCTTTCTTAACTCAGCGGAAACCTAACTCAACAGAATAACTTAATGCCATGCAAAGACATAAAACAACTTAACTGATGAAATCTGGCCCAAAATAGCAACTCGAGTCTCAAAATAGAATATTTGCATATATATACATATACATGGATGAGAGACTCAAAACTAACTGACTGACTGTCTATGAAGCCTCTACAATACTGAGATGGATGTTGGGACA